ATCACCAGAGCATCTCACCATCATCTTCATCACCAGAGCATCTCACCATCATCACCCCAGCACCTCACCATCATCTTTATCACCAGAGCACCTCAGCATCATCTTTATCACCAGAGTATCTCACCTTCATCTTTATCACCCCAGCACCTCACCATCACCTTCATCACCACAGGATCTCACCATTATCACCCCAGCACCTCACCATCATCTTCATCACCTCCACCACCACCTTCCACCAGCCCAGCACCTCCACCACGCTCACACCTCCCGTTCACAATCTCCATCCTTTGGTACCTCACTACTGCCATCCTTATCTCCCCTAAGATCTCATTTCCATCATCTTCATCACCCCAACACCTTCATCATTTTCATCTCAGCACCTCACCTCCATCTTCATTCCCCTGACACCTCACCATCCTTATCTCCCTCAAGACCTCACCTCCTCCATCTCTCCCACAGCCTCCATTTGTCACCCTCACCCCTCTTCTTCATCCCTCAGTGTCCCCTCCTCCTCCTCCTCCTCACCTCCACCACGGCCTCCTTCATCACCTCCAGGTTCTTGCGGGGCGGCTCCCCGGTCTCGTAGAAGGCCAGGCGCTCCTCCACCTGCTCCCTCAGCTTGTCCCCAAAGACACTGGTGGGGACCTCTGTGGGGAGGGGACAGGGGGGGGCTCAGCGCTGACCCTGCACCCCCAAACCCCCCTGCGAGCCCCCCGTGCTCTGCTCAGCCCACAGGAGTCACCATTCACCGGGGTGAGATGCTGTTGACGAAAAATGTTCCCATCACGGCAGAGCGGCCCTGAGTGCCCACCATGACAGTGCCCACCATGGCAGTGCCCACCCTGACAGTGCCCCCAGCCCACCTGAGAAGCAGTCGATGCGCGAGGCGATGGTGCACTTGTTGNACACAGACACGCCTGGGGACAGCCCAATGTCCCCAAAGAGGGGACACAGACACACATGGGGACAGCCCCACACAGCCCAATGTCCCCAAAGAGGAGACACAGACATGGCCTGGGGACAGGTCCCCAAGGAGGGGACACAGACACACCTGGGGACAGCCCCACACGGCCTGATGTCCCCAAGGAGGGGACGCAGACACACCTGGGGACAGACACACCTGGGGACAGCCCCACATGGCCCAGGGTCCCCAAGGAGGGGACACAGACACACAGACACACCTGGGGACAGCCCCACACAGCCTGATGTCCCCAAAGAGGGGACACAGACATGGCCTGGGGACAGCCCCACACGGCCCAGGGTCCCCAAAGAGGGGACACAGACAGGGCCAGGCCCCAGGGAAGGGACAGGGGTTGCAGTTCCACGCTGTATGTAAGGCACAGTCCAGGGGCTGCTGCTGCCACAGGGACTCAGCCAGGCCCCCCAGGCTGTGACACGTTCCAGGTGGCCCCGGTGGCACAGGACACAGCTGGGGCCACCACGGGAGCGGGGCAGTGGCCACTCCTGGCTCCGGCCTGTCCGTCAGTCTGTCAGTCCGTGCGCTGACTGAGCTCTGCTCCCTAATCCTCCTCTGAGTCCTGAGCCGCTGCCTTCTTCTTCTTCTTCTTTTTCTTCTTCTTTTCCTCCTCTTCCTCCTCCTCAGGCTCCGCCACGGCTTTCCTTTTCTTCTTGGGCAATGGCTCCTCCTCTTCCTCCTCCTCCTCCACCCCGTTCTGCTCAGGCTCTGCCTCTGCCTCTGACTCCTCGGGCTGCTGCTGCTTCTTCTTTTTCTTCTTCTTCTTGGCCCCCACGTCGTTCTCCTGTGGGGAGGGGAGCCCCCATCAGCTCTGACCCCATCCCCCCCTCCTGGGGCACAGAGACCCCTGCAGGACCCCCCAAAGGGTCTCACCCCTGCCCTCACCTCCGTCTCCATCACCGAGTTCTCCGCTGCCTCCTCAGCAGCCGCTGCCAGCGCCTCCAGCCGCCGCTTCTCCCTCTTCTTCCTCTTCTTCTCCTTCTTCTCCTGCCTCCTCTTCACCTCAGCCACCACCTCGCTGGCCTGGGGACACGCAGGGGCCGTGAGCCAGGGCAGGACCCCCGGGTTTGTCCCCACACCCGGCCCCGGTCGGATCAGACTCATTAAATCAGTCTTTGGCCTCCACGGTGGGTCAGGATGGCACAGTGACATCACCTCCGACAGGGCCCTCATCTTCATCTCCCTAGCATCACCTTCATCACCAGAGCATCTCACCATCATCACCCCAGCACCTCANGGCTGTGGAGGGTCCCTGCTGCCTCTCTCTGCTCTCTGTCCCTGTCCCAGCCGTTGTTCACCAGAGCCTTTCCCCGTTTCTCCCCTCCCTGTGTTGGATTTGCAGGTCCGGACCCGGGACCTGGGCGGTTACTCCACCACCTCCGACTTCGTCAAGTCCGTCATTGACAACCTGCACCCCAACTATGGGGCCTAGACCCCCCCTGCACCCCAACTATGGGGCCCAGACCCCCCAGCAGCTCCCCCTGCACCCCAACTATGGGGCCCAGACCCCCCAGCAGCTCCCCCTGCACCCCAACCATGGGGCTTAGCCCCTCCCCAAACCCCTCCCAGCCCCACAGGGAGGAACTCCAGGAACCTTCACCCTTCCCCAGCCCCACAGGAGGCGACCAGTGCGGAGTTTGGGATGTTCTGGGTGGTTCTGGGGGGATGTGGCAGTGACCCAAAATCATTGGCAGCTCATTGGGACCCCCACTATGGCTCTGGGACCCCCCCATTCCCATGGGATCCCCATTACTGGATTATCATTGCTGTGGGACCAGTGGGATTCCCAGATCCCTGACTTTGGGATCCCCGTTTCTATGGGAACCCTGACTATGGGACCCTCCCTTTTCCATGGGGTCATTCTGACTGTTGGACCAGTGGGAATTGTGGGATCCCTGTGAGAATGGGACCTTGGATTGTGGGACCCCCATTCCCATGGGATCCCTGACTGTGGGACCCCCATTTCCATGGAATCCCTGACTGTAGGACCCCCCCCCCATTTCTATGGGGTCATTCTGACTGTTGGACCAGTGGGATTTGTGGGATCCCTGTGAGAACAGGACTGTGGGAACCCCATCCCTAGGGAACCCCTGTAACTGTTGGACCAGTGTGGGATTTTTGTGGGACCTCCATTCCCACGGGCCCATCCCATGCAGCTTTCAGCAGGGTGCCACCCTGCACCCCCTTGGCAGCTGCTGGCACAGGGTCCCCACGCCGTGGGGTGACCCTGGGACACTCCAGCCCTGGCACAGGGTG